TTGCGAAATATACTTCTGTACCTATCCCAACATTCGTACATTGATTCATCATCTCCTTGGCCAAAACTTGCAATTTCATTGCGAAGCTGTGTATTCATATTGGGCGGATTATATCGAAGTAAGAAACTCTTGCATAAATTTACCCATGACTCTATTGAGCCAGAAGGAACTCCGTTGAGCCAAGCTCTTGCTCTATCACGTAGAGAGTAAGGGAAAAGTTTTAATTTAAGCACGTCTTCATGTACTCCTTATTGTCGAAGTGAGTCGCTTACTTCAAGGAAAGCACGAACATGCTGCCTAGCATCCTCATTGGATGAACCATAAAATTGGCCAATAGAGTTTAGCATATTAAACATCACCGGTTAAAGTTCGAAGTGAGTTGTTTGTCTTTCAGGTGCCACTATGTCTGGATTGAGGTCATTGAGAATTGGGTTCAAATGATCTCGTATCGCTCTTGGCCTTGCAACTTGAAGATTAATAGATGCATCAGATCCTAGATCTCCCATGTTGTCTTCTATTTGAAGTTGGTTTAAATATTCTCTAGTTCTTTGGGCACGTAACCTTTGTCTGAACGATTGCTCAACTTTAGGGTCGAATGGTTTCAAAGGCTTACCAACAGATCTCAAGTTCATGATATAATAAAAATATACAAAAGAAAATAATAAACTACGTTACACTAGATATAAGCTGACAAGAAAAACTTGTTATGGTGAATAAAAATTTCGTTAGTTGCCAATCCCCGGCAACGGCGCCAAAAACTTGATCGCTTGTAAATGTATATGATAAGCCAAGCAATTCTGAGCAAGTATACACAATCGATTCAAGTAATATAGGGTAAGTGAGTATCGTCTCCTCAAGGATTGGTTTATAGATTTAATTTCACCACAACTAGAACTAGTGGTCACGAACTAATTCCTACTAGATTTGTCAACTTAAAAACTACTAGTAATAAAATAAATGAGTGATATAATGATTGCAGAAAAGTTTGGTCAAGGCAAAATAAATATGCAGAATGCTGGAATAAAATAAAACAAGTGTTGATTTTAATATAATGCAAACAACCTCACATATTCAGAATTCTCACAGAGCATTTATGCTAAACTTTTGTATTGACAACAATTATTCTTAGACAGTTACTATGCAATACTCCTCAGCGTTAACTACAACACTTGGTTTGCCAAGCTGTTGTTGTAGCAATACCACTCAGCGTGAACTATAGGCATTGTCTATCCTACTGTAGCATCTATCCCTTTTAGTCAATTGAAACTCGCTCTTTATCTCTAAGGTAAACAAGTTAGAACTTTACCATCCTGGATTCATTCCATTGCTCACGTGGATCTATCTTAATTCTATCGAATCTAAGAATCACTATCTAGACAAAAGGTGATCTCTCGATGCTCTTACATTGCCAATACATGTTTTACCAAAACCCCAGGCGATCTATCGATGCTCTTGCAATGCTAAGGCAAAATATTCAAACAATAAACAAAACAGTCATGAGAAAAAACATAATTCATCATTCATAAAACATAAAGTAATTGTTTAAGCAAAACAAAGTTGAACACCAAGTAAGACAGTCATGGTGCTATAAAAAATATTCCAAGTTTCAACGTTTAATACAAACCCAAACATATAAAGAGATTAAGAACAAAGGAAGAATGACTCCCAAAAACTGGGGGCTCTATCGCGACAATTCTGATCAGCACCGCGCCTACCTTGGTGATCAGCCTCTCTTGAGACCTGATCACCGCACTTCTATAGCCTGGCTGAGGAGGACACCAAGGAAGTTCGGTTGGTAGACGGTGGGAAAGAACTGCAGTTTCTTGCTCACGCCCTAAGTAAAGTTATTCTTTCTTCTTCATTTCCTTCTCTTTTTGGCGGCTACAGCTGGTTATTTATAAGGAATGATCTCCTAGAGCTTTGCATAATTTGAAGATTCCTTAAATAACTCTTGTTATATTCCCAGGCTTAAAAAGGAAAGGTGGATGGCGACTGGAAGCTGTAAGAATACTTAATGCTTGCTTGCACGTGAAGTAGTTCATCCAGCTGGCGTGTGACATAGGCAGTTTCGTCATACTCGCTTCAGACTTCTCAAATAAACCTTACCTCGGCAAGATAAATATGCCCCTCATGTTCTTATATGTTCCACTGGCCCTTGCGATTTACGTTTTCATGACTAAAATGTTCTTCATCTGTAAGTTTCCTACAAAAATACAACCCAAGTAAACCCTTTCTCCTCAGCAGCATCAGTCAACCCAAATAAATCTTGCCTAAGAAAAACTTATCCACCACAAGCTAACATAACCTATATGCAACTAAAATGTTTTATGTACTTTGTTTAGACGAGCAATAACTTAAGTGAAAAGACTAGAAATTGAGTCTTTTTACGGAGTTATCAAAAATATGTAATGGTTGGCTCGAATTTTCAGAATTTGAAATGGAAGATTCCCTTGGGAGCCTAACAATAAAGGGAAAGATTCTCATACTCACACATCTTTTGTACGATCTGAAACTTCGAGACACGTGTCAACTTTCAGGAAAGATTTTGATGTAAGATACTCCTACCTTAAATTGATTATGGATCTAGGAAGAAAGCAAAACAACCTGCGTAAGTGAATGGCTCAAATAGATGGCTTGGTAGTTGATGTAAAGGTGAAATAGAGGGTTATGTATGTTATGAGATTGGTAGCATAAGTATGTTGATATGGTTATGGTATGGCTTATGAAAGAAATGATGGTTGGTGAGGATAGTATCTTAGAAAGACCAAGGAAGAACCATTGCTACAATGAGCAAAGACCCAGCCTTACAAATATCTCTAAGGGATGGTAACAAAGGACTTGGACCCACTATCTATAAAGAGATAGGAACCACAAGTATCAATGGAATAGAAGCTGACCCCACAAGTAAGGATTTACTTGATAAGTCGATAAAAGACACAATGACTTAAGAAAAGATAATAATCTCACTTTAATTTATAAGAAAGGTGTGCTTACAAATGAATAGGTCTAGCCTATTTGTAAGGATTGAAGGGACATGGTCAAATGGATACATGGTGGTTCAGTGATATGATCGCCAAAAGAAAAGACCCGGAGAAGTACACAAGTGGTCCCATCACACGTTGCTTATGCATAAATTTGCATGAGAAATTAAAGTTTGCAGAACATTCATTGCATTTAATAAGTATGTTGTTCATTCAAGCATGCATTGCATTTAAATAATCTAGTTCATTTAGGGAAGTAGTTCATTAATTAAACTAGTTCATTCATCAAACTAGTTCATTTATTAAATTAACTCTTAATTGTTTCATGCATGTTTTCAATTAAATATTGAATAAAGTTCACCTTTGTGTCTAGGTGCATGAGAGAAGTTGAATGGTTTCATCATATACAAGAATGCCAGTCAGAATGTCTTCCAAATCTGAATGCTATATAGATGTGTTTGGTTCTAGAAATCAATTTGACATTATTCCTCTATCTCTTATATTTCCAACGCCTTTTGAATCACCTTAATCCGATATCAGGAGCTTGAGATATAATCGATTTATTGAAGACAGTGCAGGCTGGAATTTTGTTATAGGAATTTTATGCATGGATAATTTGGATGAGTTTGAGCCAAGAGAGAGTCTTTTGAAATTCAGCCAAGTGATAAGCCATTGAAGGACTCTTAATTCACTCATTCAAGGCATTTAAAGCTGACTGTTATCATCTAAGTTCAAGTGTTGTTCATATTCTTCAACGGAGCATGCAATGAAGGGTGATTTAATTCACTTGTTAAAACAATTTTTAACATGGAATAGCAAGAGTCTTCCACACCTTGGATGAAATTAAGTCCAAAATCAGCTTCATATTATCTAGATTCATCCCCAAAATGATCTATAATATTCAACCAACCTTGAAGATAAGAAGACAAAGCATTCAAGTGTATTTTATTGCTAAATTAATGAGAATGTTTTCATCTTTTGAGTCTTTTCATATGCTTCTTAGAAAGACTATAAATAGACACATTTGGGATCATTTGTAGACACACATTTGAATATATAAAACATATTTGAGAGGTTACTTTCATTCTTGTTCTCTAGTATAACTTTATCATCTTCAAGATAGTCTTGTAGTCTTCATCCATTTCCTTTTGTTAGAGCGTTGGTTCCTAGATCATCTATAGCTAGTGGGTCACGTTCCATATCCTACCACTTCTACCTTTCCACCTTATTATATTGTTGGTTCCAAAATCATATATAGTTAGAGGGTCACAATCCATTTCCTTGGGATTCTTCATACTACACACCAACTTTCTACTATCTTCACCAACCTTTTCATCATTTATTTTCCTTAACCACAAGCATCACTCTTCCTACGTTGCTAATCCACATCAACATATCTTTCATCTTTCCACTTCCATATTTTATTTATCCATTTCTATTTTACAACGTTTTATGCAAATTTCAGATTAATTCAAAGTACTATGGAGTTCTTAGTAGAATCACGATCAGGCACACTTGTATATGACTCGGAACACATACTCGAAATCATATAATTTGGCATCAGAGCTAGCCGATTCAGTAAGTGTATCGTTTTATTTTCTCTCTCCTGGGTTAGTAAAAATTTAAAAAAAAAGCAAAAAGAAATAAAAAAGAAAAAGAAAGAAAAAAATTTAAAGTAGGAGGGAGTAATTCTTTTCATCTTTAAAGAAAAAATATTTACTTTATCTTTATATTTAATTATTCAATTTTGTTACCTTTACTTACTATCTCTTTTCCTTGTAGCAATTTCTTTTCACTATCCTTACTACCAAGCCACAATTATTTCAGCTGAAGTCCACTAGACCTTGTAAGCCTTGAGGTAGTTCCCAAAAGGACTTGAAATCAAAGCACGAGTGGTAAAAGGCAAGAGTGATCATTAAGGGTAAAAGCCATCCCGAGTGAAACACTAGTTGGAGTGACTTTTCTTGGAGTGTTTGGTGAGGTTTATTTTTTTGTGATGTTATTTCGTTATTACTAATTATGTCTCATCATTCAGGAGACAATTCTCAAGTTACAAGTAACGTTGAACCAAACCTACAAATGCAAGCCATAGTGCGTGAATTGACCGGGATTTTGAGGGAAGAGTTGGAACCTCTCCATGAATGTATTGACCGTACTGAAGAGGATCGTACTCAAGGATTCCGAGAGCAAGAAGATGTCAATCAAGGAGGAAAAGAAGAAGTGGAAAGACCAGAAGAAGATCGTGCATCACAACAAAGAATGGGAAATCGAGGTATAAGGCCCCAAAGGTTTTGTCCATTAATGGATGATAATCTTGTTAATATTAAGATTTCCATTCCACCATTCCAAGGCAAGACGGATCCCGAGGCTTACCTAGCATGGGAAAAGAATGTAGAGCACATCTTTCGGTTTCATGATTATTCCGAACTTAAGAACGTAAAACTCGCTGCCCTTGAGTTTATGGATTATGCATTAATATGGTGGGATCAATTGACATCAAGTAGGAGACGCAATGGAGAACATCCTATCACTACATGGAATGAAATTAAAGCAGTGATGCGAAGGTGATTCATTCCAACCCACTACCATCGGGAGTTATTCAACCGTCTTCCAAACCTTTCACAAGGTATCCGAAGTGTTGAAGATTATCACAAAGAGATGGAGGTGGCCATGATTCGAGCCAATATCGATGAGTATCGAAAAGCCACAATGGCAAGATTCCTAGCGAGACTTAATCCGGACATTGCAAGTGTGGTTAAGTTGCAACATTATGTGGAGATGGAAGACATGGTGCGTATGGCCATAAAGGTGGAAAAACAACTCAAAAGGAAGGGTTCCACGCGATCTTATGGGAGAGAAACTTCAAAATGGGGGTAAATTTCATACAAGAAGACTCCTCCATTGCCATCTCACGAAAGAAGAGGACAACCCAAAGGAAGTAAGCCCATTACCGAAACCAGAAAGGGTAAGACTGCTGCCACTCCAAATAGTTCTCGTGACATACAATGTTTTAAGTGTTTGGAGCGTGGACACATTGCAAGCCAATGTCTAAATCGCAACACCATGCTTCTTCGAGATGATGGAGAAGTTGATACTACATTTGATATGGAAGAATTAGAGCATGCCATGGAATGAGAGGTTCTTGTTGTCAAAAGGAGCCTAAACGTGCAATCCAATGGAGGAGATGAACAACGTGAAAATATATTCCATACTCGCTGCCACGTGGGAGGAAATGTATGCTTTGTTATTATTGATGGTGGTAGTTGCACTAATGTTGCTAGTACCTTAATGGTATATACACTTGGCTTGGCAACAACAAAGCATCCACAACCTTATAAATTGCAATGGCTCAACGATGGAGGAGAACTCAAGGTGACCAAACAAGTTTGAATTGCTTTCTCCATTGGGAAATACAAAGACGAGGTGTTATGTGATGTCATTCCAATGCACACAAACCATTTACTACTTGGAAGGCTTTGGCAATTTGATAGGTGAGTGATCCATGATGATTATACCAACCGATATACATTCACCCACGGGGCAAGGAAGATCACTTTAGCTCCACTTTCACTAAAGCATATACATGAAGACCAAATTCAATTGAGAGGAAAATTTGAAAGAGCTAAAAAGAAAAAGACCAAAATGGAGGTAAAAGCAAAAGTGTATGATTAAAATGAGGGAAGGAAAATCATCATTCTTTCTAAAGAGAGAGAAATGAAAAAGTGTTTAATGACGGCAAAGGAAGCACTTGTGCTCATGTACAAGGAAAAAATTTTAAACACTAACTACCTTGATTAAAATTTGTCTGCTTTTGTTGTGTCTTTATTACAGGAGTTTGATGACCTATTTTCGGAAGAAATACCAAGTGGGTTACCACCTATTCGTGGCATAGAACATCAAATAATTTTTTTCCTGGAGCCGTCATTCCAAACCGACCAGCTTACCGAAGTAACCCCGAAGAAACTAATGATTTACAAAGGCAAGTATCTGAGTTGATGGCAAAAGGCTACGTGAGGGAAAGCCTTAGCCCATGTGTCGTGCCAGTTCTACTTGTGCCAAAGAATGATGGAACTTGGCGTATGTGTGTGGATTTTTGAGCGGTAAAAAAATTACGATAAAGTATCGTCACCCAATTCCTTGCTTAGATGACATGTTAGATGAGCTTACTGGTTCTAACCTCTTTTCCAAGATTGATCTTAAGAGTGGTTACCACCAAATACGAATGCAGAAAGGTGATGAGTGGAAAACAACATTTAAAATGAAGCAAGGTCTTTATGATTGGTTGGTTATGTCTTTTGGCTTAACTAATGCACCAAGCATATTTATGAGGTTAAATGAATCATGTTCTTAGGCTATTCTTGGGTAAGTTTTGTGTGGTTTATTTTGATGACATTCTAATATATAGTAAAACCATGGAAGAACATGTTCAACATTTGAGGTTAGTTTTACTTGTTTTGAGGAAGGAAAAATTGTTTGCTAATTTACAAAAATGTATGTTTTGTACTAACAGGGTTGTTTTCCTAAGTTTCATTGTGAGTTCTAAAGGTTTGGAGGTTGACAAATAGAAGGTTAAAGACATTGAAGAGTGACCACGACCAGCAAGCATTTCTCAAGTTAGGAGCTTCCACGAACTTGCAAGTTTTTATCGGAGATTCATTACAAACTTCAGCACCATAGCCGCCCCACTAACAAGTGTTATTAAGAAGAATTCTAAATTCTTGTGGGGGAAGATCAAGAGAAGTCCTTAAATAGCATTAAAGATTGTTTAATTCATGCCCCTTTACTTGCTCTACCTAATTTTAATTTAACTTTTGAAATTGAATATGATGCATCAGGTGTAGGAATTGGAGCAGTCTTGTCTCAAGGTGGAAGTCCTATAGCCTATTTAAGTGAGAAATTAAGTGGAGTTATACTTAACTATCCTACCTACGACAAAGAGATGTATGCTCTTGTGAGGGCAATGAAAACATGGAAACACTACCTTTGGCCTAAGGAGTTCATCATTCACAGCGATCATGAGGCGTTGAAACATATTCGGAGGCAACATAAACTCAACAAAAGGAATGCCAAATGGGTAGCATTTCTTGAAACTTTTTCATATGTTATCAAGTACAAGAAAGGTAAGGAGAATATAGTTGTCAATGCATTGTCACGAAGGTATGTTCTTTTAAACACTTTGGAATCTAAGTTGTTGGGTTTTACTTTTATTAAAGACTTATATGTTTCTGACTCTGATTTTGGAGAAATTTACAAAGTTTGTGAGAAAGGGATGATTGATAAATACTTTAAGCATGATGGTTTTCTATTCAAGGGAGGGAGACAATGCTTCCTTTAAGGTTTCATGCAAGAATTGCTCACTAAGGAGCCCATGGAAGAGGATTAATGGGACATTTTGGGATAGCAAAGACTTTAGCTATACTTCAAGAACATCTATATTGTCCCAAAATGAAACGATATGTGGAAAGGTTATGTGAACGTTGCTTTACTTGCAAGAAGGCCAAATCTAAAGTCATGCCACATGGACTTTACACACCACTACCCATACCGGAAGCACCATGGATTGATATTTTAATGGATTTTGTGCTAGGGCTTCCACGCACAAAGAATAACAAAGACTCCATCTTTGTAGTTGTTGATAGATTTTCCAAAATGGCTCATTTCATTCCTTGTGACAAAACTAATGATGCCTCACATATTGCTACTTTGTTTTTCAGGGAAATTTTAAGGCTACACGGTATACCCAGAACTATTGTGTCTGATCGGGAGGTGAAGTTCTTAAGCCACTTTTGGAGAGCCCTATGGAGTAAGATTGGTACTAAGCTACTATTCTCCACCACTTGCCACCCTCAAACGGATGGTCAAACTGAAGTGGTGAATCGAGTACTTTCCATGTTACTTCGATCCATCATTCAGCAGAATTTGAGAACATGGGAGGAGAGTTTACCACATGTGGAGTTTGCATACAATCATTCAATCCATACTACTACGGGGCGTACGCCTTTCGAAATGGTGTATGGGTTCAATTCGTTAACACCGATAGACTTGTTACCATTACCCGCTGATCAAATTGTGAATAAAGATAGACTTAAGAAGCTTCATCAACAAGTGTGGAAGAACATTGAAAATTGAACTAAGCAATATAAGCAGCAAGAAAATAAGGGTCGTTATCGAATTAATTTTGAGCCAGGGGATTGGGTGTGGCTACACATGAGGAAAGAAAATTTCCAGCTCAACCAAAGTCTAAATTAATGCCTCGAGGAGATGGACCATTCCAAATAGTCAAGAAGATCAATGACAACTCCTATCAATTAGATCTTCCAGGTGAGTTTAATGTCAGTGCAATCTTTAATGTTAATGACTTGTATCCTTATGATATAGGTGACGATTTGGGGACAAATTGCCTTAAAGAGGAAGGATTGATATGATCACCAATAGCAAAGACCCAGAGAAGTACCCAAGTGGCCCAATCACACGAGCAAGGGCTAAGGAGTTTCAAGTAGCCATGGAGAGTATGTTTACATCAAGTTTGGAATGTGATGAAGGAGGAATAATAAGGGAGGAACACTTTACATTGCTTATGCATTAATTTTCATGATAATTTAAAGTTTGCATAACATTCATTTCAATTTATAAGTGTGTTGTTCATTCAAGCATGCATTGCATTTAAATCATCTAGTTCATTTAGGTAAGTAGTTTATTAATTAAACTAGTTCATTCATAAAACTAGTTCATTTATTAAATAAAATCTTAATTGTTTCATGCATTTTTTCAATTAAATATTGAATAAAGTTCACCTTTTTGTCTAGGTACATGAGACAAGTTGAATGGTTTCATCATATGCAAGAATGTCAATCAGAATGTCTTCCAATTCTGGATGAGATACAGATTTGTTTGTTTCTAGAAATCAATTGGACATCATTCCTCTATCTCTTATATTTCTAACGCCTTTTTAATCACCTTAATCCGATATCAGGAGCTTGAGATATGATCAATTTATTGAAGACAGTGCAAGCTGGAATTTTGTTATGGGAATTTTATACATGGATGATTTGGATGAGTTTGAGCCAAGGGAGAGTCTTTTGAACTTCAGTCAAGTGATAACCATTTAAGGACTCTTAATTCACTCATTCAATGTATTCAAATATGATTGTTATCATCTAAGTTCAAGGGTTGTTCATATTCTTCAAGGGAGCATGCAATGAAGGCTGATTTAATTCACTTGTTGAAACAATTTTCAGCATGGAATAGCAAGAGTCTTCCATCCCTTGGAAGAAATTAAGGCCAAATTCAGCTTCAAATATTCTAGATTCATCCCCAAAATGATCTAGAATATTCAGCCAACCTTGAAGATAAGAAGACAAAGCACTCAAGTGCATTTTATTGCTAAATTGATGAGAATGTTTTCATCTTTTGAGTCTTTTCATATGCTTCTTAGAAACACTATAAATCGGAACCTTTGGGATCATTTGTAGACACATATTTGAATATTTAAAATATATTTGAGAGGTTGTTTTCATTCTTGTTCTCTTGTATAACTTTATCGGCTTCAAGATAGTCTTTTAGTCTTCATCCATTTTCTTTTGTTATAGCGTTGGTTACTAGCTTATCTATAGCTAGTAGGTCACGTTCCATATCCTACCACTTCTACCTTTACACTTTATTATATTGTTAGTTCCTAACTCATATATAGTTGGAGGGTCACAATCCATTTCCTTGGGATTCTTCATACTACACACCAACTCCCTACTATCTTCACCAACCTTTTCATCATTTATTTTCCTTAACAACGAGCATCACTCTTCCTACGCTGCTAATCCATTTCACATATCTTTCAGCTTTCCACTTCCATATTTTATTTATCCATTTCTATTTTACAAGATTGTTTATGAATTTCATATTTATTCAAAGTAATATGGAGTTCTTACTAGAATAACGATCGGGCACACTCGTGTATGACTCGGAACACATAATCGATATCATATAATTCAACCAGCCCTTGTATCCCTCTAAAATGACATAATTAATTAATTACATGCATGAATAGAAGGGTATAATGATTCAACTGAATGAAGGGGCATGTCTTTTGGCCGTATGGTGCTTGAACCCCTTCAAGTTGGCGCCTAAATGAAGCATTAGGAACCTTGGTTGAATGGTTGGGATGTTTGGTGTTTGGCGCACCTAAGATGAGTTCACACGCTTGGCACATGGTTTCTTATGACAAGGAATGTACATGGTTCTCTAGGAGGCTTATGGTGTAGCCTTGGGCATGTGATGAAGTCCAAATCATGTGTTGTAGCCTTGGGCGTGAGTTGTGCCACCTTCAAGCTTACAAGTGTATAGCTAGCTACCAATGCAAGAGCTGGTGGGGAAGGATCTTCTTAGCCATGAACTTCCAAGCTCCTTAGCATCACTTTCACCTATGTGTGTTTTCACTTTCAGCAACTTGTCTTCAAATAGTCCAATGAGCTGATTTTAGATAGCCTTGAGCTCCTCCAGTTGAGTTGAGCTTCCCATTGTGTTCCATGAGCTGCCATGAAGTTTGTTAGCTAATTATGAGTTGTATATGATTTCCAAATGCTCCCACAAGATGCCCCAATGTGTGACATGCTTTCATGTACCCACATGTGCAAATAAAATAAGGTAAATCAAAGGATATGAGCTGGAATGATTCAATTACCTTGTTGTCGTGCATGTATATGATCTTGTGAGCTATGAATGCATGTCATAAGCTAAGAACATGATGATATAATATATGTAAGCTAATTTATAAGAATTAGGAGTTGAAATGAATGTAAATGAGCTAACAAATGAATGATTAAGCATGCTAAGTTATTTCATATATGCATGTCAATTAACATATATATGTGGATATGCTAAGTTATTTTACTCATTAGATCACATAACTAATAACCCTAGCATGATATACATGATTATTTCATATATGATCAGAATGATATAAAGAAAGTAAAGGATTAAGATGTTTAAAAATACTTCCTTTACATATGGTTAGAACGTGCTTGCATCATCCCCCCTTCTTTAGGGCAATTTTGTCCTTAAATCAAAGCCTTTGGTATACTTGAAATGTTTACATTTATGTTCTTCCAAATGCTCAGCTTTGTGTTCTTTTGGCAAAAGAATGTATCATTTGGACGAATGTGTTCTTCCAATAGGTTTTATTTCATAAGATCTCCTATTAGGCCTTTCTTTGGAATATAAATTACCAACAAGTACCTTTTTGTAATGATCTTCTTCTAAGGTATCCTTGTTGGAAGTGACCTTTCATTTGGCTTCCGCTGAAAAGTGAAAAAATATGATGTTTCAAATGAAGGGGTACTTACCTTTTGAAGACATAAATCATAACCCTTGATGAAGAGTTGTGGCTTTTAACCTTGACCATCACCATTATTCATTGGAATCCCTTCATTTTCCAGCAACGAACCATCATACTTCTTTATGAAGAAATCTGGTTTCATGTCTTGTCCATCTTCAATCTTCAGTGGTGGTTTGTCCTTTCGCAAGGCCTGATCACTCCTTCTCATATGCATCTGATCTTGTTGGACTTCTTTAGGAGTTAAAGGCACCAAAGTTACCTTGTTTCCTTCATGCTTAAAGGAGTACTAGTTTTGATAACAATCATGAATGGCCCTTTTGTTATACTTCCATGGCCTCCCAAGTAGAATGTGGCTAGCATGCATAGGGACAATATCACAAAGTACCTCATCCTTGTACCCACAAATTAAAAATGGAATTAGGACTTGTTTTGTAACATTTAATCACCTTCTTCATTGAGCCATTGGAGTTTGTATGGAGTTGGATGCTTTAAAGTTGTCAAGCCAAGTTTATCCATCATAATAGTGATGCCTACATTTGTGAAACTATCTCCGTCAATAATCATTGTACAAACCTTATCCTTGACATGGTACCTTGTGTGAAAGATGTTTCTTATTTGTATTTCCTTCTTAGTTTGTCGTGATTGGAGGCACCTCTTTGAAACAAGCATTTCTCCACCAACAGCAATCTCTAGTTCCTTTGTTTATTCTTTATAGATTGTCTATTGTTCCTCATCATGAATAGGCTCTTCGGAATCTGAGACAACCTCTCCATTTTCTATCAATATCATAGTGTTTCGGTTGGGACATTTGCTTGCAACATGTCCTTTTGTAAAGCAATTGAAACACTTTATGTCTCTGGACCTCTCTAAAGTGTTTACATGTTTTTATTTGCCCTTAATTGATTCACCCACTTGTTTTGTTTTGGATGCCTCAAAATTATCCTTCACTTTGACTGGGGTTGGCTTTCGGAAAGTATTGGGCTCTTGTTTCCATTTGGTGGTCGAATTTGGACTATTCTGATTAAATACCTTCCTTTTAATTTGCCATTCAATATTCATGGCCATATGTACCATCTCCTCAATTTCTACATAATGATGCAATTCAACATGGTTAGCAATTTCAGGATTTAAGCTAGATAAAACCTTGCCATGGTTACTTCCCTATCTTCATCAACATTGGCTCGAATCATGGTTATCTTAATTTCCTTGAAATAATCTTCAACGCTCCGACTTCCTTGTTTAAGATTTTGAAGCTTGTGATAGAGATCACGTCATAGTGAGTAGGCACGAACCTTTTTCTCATAATGTCCTTCATTTCTTCCCAAAAATTGATTGGGCGTTCACCATTTCTTCTTCTTGAACTTACTAATTTGTCCCACCAAACGAGAGCATAGTCCACAAATTCCATAGAATTAAGCCTTACTTTTTTCTCCATGTAGTTTTGGCATTCAAAAATATGCTCAATTTTTATTACCCAGTCAAGATAGGCTTCCAGATCAATTCATCCTTGAAATGGAGGAATTGTTACATTGATTTTACTGAAGTTATCATGTTGATACCTTTCCCCTAGATTCATATGAAAATATCTTCTGGATTCTTGGGTGACTTGATCTACCTCAGCCTCCTCTTCAATTTCTTCTTCCATTCTAGTGTGTATTATCCTTCTGTTTCCCAACGATGCTTCAACTTGATCCATTCTTTCATGTAAGGCTCAAACTATAATTTCAACAATCTTGCCATCCCAGGCATAATTGCTTGAATTTGCAAGTTAGGGGATTCTCTTACAGGTGATCATAATGGACTCCGAGACATGATTAGTGAAATAAAGAAAAGGAATTATGTAAAAGACCTAACCAAATAATACTCTCACAAAGCCTTACAAGTTCACTCTAAGGAAACTTGAATGTCACTCAATCCACTCGGGTTTGCACTCTAGGATTTCAAGGCTTTTACTAGTCCTCTTCTAGTCTCCCACGCGCAAGCCTTTTTTTCTCTCAATCTCTTTGTCTCGAGTTCTAAGTAACTTTACTCAAAACTATACCAAGTTTCTCTCAATCTCTTTGTCTCGAGTTCTAAGTAACTTTACTCA